ACTGATAATTTTCACAAATTCAAATAGAAATGTTTGACTGGATTCAAAATCCATTCACATTAACCAAAGAAATTTCAACATTACAAGTGCCAGAGAAAGAAAAGAAAGGACTGTTCGATTCTTTAAACATAATTATTTTTTTATTTTATCATTTACTGGATTGAACAAATTTCTAGTCAGTCTATTGAGTTTAAAAATCTTGGTCAGAAATTTCATGTAGCCATTTCAGGTATAAAACCTGATTATTAAAAAAGAACAGGGGCAAATTCAAGTTTCTCATTAAGAAACAAATTATTTTATTTGTACGTATACAAATCCAATAATTAGTATTTTCTATAACATTTTTATGTTATTTCACTCATCCTAATTATACACGATAAAGGAAATATAACGAATTGTTTCATCTAGCCCCATAGATGCCCCCAAGTCCCCTCCGTTAACCCCCACGCGCAAGGCAAATGTTTCTCTGTGTGCCAGGACGTGAACGGATATTGGAAAGATGTGAACAGAGGGCTGCCTATTCCAACTCCGAAGAGCTAGCATTCTTAAAATCCTTGTTAAAAGTACGAAATTCTGGCACAAGCTTGGATTTTAATAACTCAAATCTCTTTTAACTGGAAAAATAATGTCAGAGGTCAGACTCTAGAAAAGTGGTAAAACTTGGCTGCCAAAATTAGTATGTGGTGGATTATAATGAAATGGGATCCATGTTTCCTCATCTTAAATCTGGATTTGTGACTACAGTGGAAGCCATGCTGTGTGACTTCCAAAGCTAGGTTATAGAAAGTGATGCATATTCTTCCTGGTATTTTTGATACACTGGTTCTTGGAACTCAGCTACCACGCTGTGAGGAAGCCCAAGCAGCCCCGTGAGGAGGTCATGTGTAAGTGTTCCGGGTGAGCTCCCAGCTTTAACCAGCACCAGCCTGCCAGCCATGTGAGTGAGACATCTTGAAAGAGGATCCTTTGGCCCCAGGTGGAGGCACCCCAGCTGACACTGCATGGAGTAGAGACAAGCTATATCCACCCAGCCCTGCCTCACTGGCAGCTTTGTGAACAAAATAAATGATGGCTGTTACTGAAGCCACTCAATTGTACAATGATTAGTTACACAGAAATAGATAATTGGCACAACGAAGAAACAAAATAATCAGCTAAAATAGGTCAGAAGAGGATAAACTAGCAATACTTATAAAAAAGCTTTCAAAAATGTATGTTCCCTTAAATCCAACCATTCCAATTTGGGGAATCTAATCCTGGTGAACAAATTAAAGATGTGCTCTAAGATTTCACCACAAAAATATTCTTCAAAGTAGCGAAAAGCCAAAAACAACCTCAATGTTCAATAGAGAAGTGGGTAACTCAATTATGGTACATCTAATTCTGTTGGTCCCAAATCTGGTCATTAGAATCACCAGCGGATCTTTTTAAAGAAAAAAAGAAAAAGAAGAATCCCTCTCCCCAGTTCCCTTATTGATGAATACTAAGGTTGTTTCCAGTTTGAGGCTATTACAAAGAGTGATGTAATCTATTTCTTTAGACATTAATCCTAAGGTATTGTTGCTTTTATTCTCATAAGATATATTCTTAGAAGTGAGTTGTCTGCATCAAAGGTATGCACAATTTCAATCACAATAGATAATTTTCCCCAAAACTTATAGCAATTTACAGTCCTACCAATAATATATGACTTCCCATTTCTCTATGCCCTTGACTGCCCTGGGTGCTACTGATTTCTTAAATTTCATCGTCATCTACAAACATTGATATTTCATTTTATCTTAATTTGCATTTCCCTGATGACTAGTGAACTTAAGCAAATGTCTATTTTCTGTTTACATTTCCTCTTCTGGGAATTTCCTCTTTATGTCCTTTATTTTTTTCCCCTTGTGAGCTGTTAGTCTTTTTCTTATCATTTTGTAGGAGTTTGTTTATTAAAGGTATTACCATTTGTCTCTCACATAAGTTTTAGGTATTTTCTCTCAGGCCTGCACTGGTCATCATGGCAGTCACCAACTGCCTGTGGCTATATAGATTTAAACTAATTTAAGTTTAGAATTTAAAATTTATTTCCTCAGTCACACCAGCTTCATTTCAAGGGCCCAATCACTACATGTTGCTAATGGCTACCATACTGGACAGCTCAGGATGAACATCTCCACCACCACAGAAAGTTCTCTCAGCACTGACTCCAACCACCATTTGTCTTTCATCTTTGTTTATGTTCCCTTTGGCCATACCTAATTTGAAATTTTTATATAGTTAATTCTGACCATCTTTTCACTTCTAATAGTTTTATCCTTTTTTTCAACCCATGAAGAATTTACTTTTGCATATGGTGAGGTTGTACATCTAGTTTTATTTTCCTCCAGACGAGTAGCAATACAATTTGCTAAATAACCCATTCTCTTAAGTATACAAGAGTTTGTTTGTAAATGTTAAGTTGTACAATGTCTGTGTAATCAAACTGTGGTCTTTGTTCTCCTTCATGACTTGTGCTTTGCCCTTATCCTTACACCATTCTACCCCACATTTTGACAGGCAAACACTCAACTGCATTTTCATCTAGGTCTCTACTGCCAATGCTCCCTCCCCATTAAAGATGGGGAAACTGAGTCCTTGGAATGGTAAGTAAGCAGCTATGGAATGGTAAGTGAGGTGACAAGAGCAAAGATAAAGGGACAAGACTGTGGTGGTGAGATGCATTTTGAGTGCAGCCAACTTGCAGCTGGAGGATGTCACAGAGTCCACGGTCCCCTGGCCATTTCCTGCATGTCTGCTGCATGGTGCTTCCCCCACAGCTTCCTGGGTTCAGCTACAAGGACACAAAGATGACTTAGACCTGAAGACCAGTTCCCTCACCACCTTCTGTTCTCACAGGCTCCAAAACCTCCTCCCTAGCTGATGTCCAGGCATTCTCAGTGACCCCCTCTGGGCTTAGTCTCTGCCAAATGCAGCCAACCTGGGTGCAAAAAGTGTGATTGGCCCCAGGAAATGGCACATGTGATTCAGATGAAAGATCCAGTGAAGAGGCCTCCCTCAGAGGGATGACTGACTAAATAATTTGTGGGGCCCAGTGAAAAATGAAAATGTGGGGTCCCTTGTCAAAAATTAATGATTTCAATAGGTGACAGCAGAGAGTTTAACCAAGCATGGGGCTCTTTGAAGCATGGGGCTTTAGGGGAGGAAGAAATTCTCCTCTACTCTTGTAGGTTCTTCTGGCTGGTCTGAGAATTAAACTGACATGAGACAGAATAGCAGGAGAAAATCAAGCAAGGTTTAATAACAAGTATACATGGGAGAAACCCTGGAAAACAGAGTAACTTGACAAAATGGCTGGACCCACCACCTTAAATAACATCTTCAGCTAAAGACAGAAGAGGATGTTGGTGGGATTAGTTTGGGACTTCACAGGGGAGGAAGGCAATTCACATGGACATGGAAAAGCAAATGTTTGGTAAACAAATGTCTGCCATGCCTTGCATAGCAATGAGACATGGAGAGGACTTTGATCAAATGGGCCTTGCTAAGTTCCTCCCTGTCTACCACACCTAGTTCATATTATACTATTGTGGGCTGATGCCATGGCCTAGGGGTTAAGTTTGGTGTGCTCCCCGCCTGCCACCCAGGTTCAGGTCTTGGGTGCAGACCTACACAATTCATTGGCAGCCATGCTGTGGCTGCAACCAACATACAAAATAGAGGAAGACTGGCACAGATATTAGCCCAGGGCGAATCTTCCTCAGCAAAAAAAAAAAGAAAAAATCACCAACATATTATACTATTGTAGGGGAGTAGAATTTACCACCTCAAGATGTGTCTCTTTGGCATGAGGATTATTTTGGGCTGGCTATTTTTTCAAAAACTGCAGACATGGGAGAAGCTCTGAAAACCAAGCAGAAGTTACCCTTTGTAAGAGACATTTAGGTTTGTAAGGGAAATCTCCATTTGTAAAGGTGTCTCCCACTCTATTATCTCTAGAAACTCTTTTATCAATGTGGAAGGCAAGGACTTAAATCTGCACAATAACTTTACTCTTGTTTACTGTGCTCTTTCTAGTAATCTCCCATAACTGACTTCCCCTATCCCCAACATCCTCCTTTGTCTTTAGCTGAAGATGGTATTTAAGGTGGCAACCTCAGCCATTCTGGCGAGTTACTCAGCTTTCCTGGGTTTCTCCCATGTATACATGTTATAAAGCTTTGTTTGACTTTCTCCTGTTATTCTGTCTCATGTCAGTTTAATTCTTGGACCAGCCAGAAGGACCTAGAGGGTGGGGGAATTATCTTCCTCCCCTACACTATAGTTATCTATATATCTAGCTTCTTCCTGGAACAGACCTTCTATCTTAAATTTTTTTAGGCAGCTAGGGGAAACATCAAAATTTCTTCCTGAGTCTTTTGTTCTTAAAAATAATCTAGTCAAAGAGGCACATTTTGGGGTAGCAAATTCTGCTCCCCTACAGGGCCATCAAGCCATCCCTGCTCCTAGGGGTCACAGGCCCAGGGAACTGGGCTGTGCTAACGCCAAGCTCCCTCCTCATTCAAATTGAGGTGCTGTCCTCTTCATGGCATCAGAGCCTGGAGCCCTGACTGCAGGATTTGGTGGTGCCCCATCCTCCCACTGCTCCCAAAGCCCTAGACAGTGCCCCAAAATTAGGGGCTCAGGTTTAATTCTCCTAACTTAGAAAATCCAGCTCCACAGAGACCCCAGCTCCCAACCTCATCTTCACCCCAGCACATCTGAATCACAGCTAAGGGTGTGGCCTGTGGTTGTGAACTCACCTCTTAGCCCACTGCAAAACAAGCAAGAAGCCAGTACAGGGCCACAGGAAGGACAGATCCCATGTTCTGGAATCAGATAGACCTGGGTTCAAATTCAGCTCCACCACTCACCATCTACATCACTCTGAGTCTCAGTAAGGGATGCTACAATCTGCTTCCGGAGCTGCCATGAGGATTAAATGAAGTAAGAACTAGTGCCTGGCACATAACAAGAGATATATGAGTATTCATTTATTGATTAGAATAAAATTAAGAATGTTATATAAGCATGTAGAATTTGGAATTGGAAGAGTTGGGTTGGAGGTTTTGCTCCATCTTTTTCACCAAAGAGCCTTGAGAAGTCCTGTGGTTTATTTCAGCTTCAGTCTCCTGGGCCACTTCATGGAAATAATGGTCAGGGCCTTCGGGTCTTTGTAAGAATCAAACGTGCCTCTGGTGCCAAAGCACTGATAAGCAAGAAGCAAATGTTGGCTGTTGCCATTGTCATTATTTTTCTGGTCATCAGAGTCCCTGGCCTTCTGGGGCAGTTGAAATGATACTGGCTCAACACAAGGTTGACATAAGGGAAGCCATATTGTAGAAAAGAAACCATATTGTAACTTTGAATGACCTCTGATTAACTAACCCAGCTAGATACGCACCCTCCAGGAGATATGCATGCTCTGCAGATTTTGTGGCCCCTCCCAGCTGCTACAAACTGATAACTTTGTTCTTTTGAGTTTCTTAGGAATGTGATGACACCTGGACAGAAGAGTCTATGCTGATAGCCACCATCAATGACAACTGAAAGATCAGGGTATAGGGCATTGCTTCGGTCTCTGATACATAGCCAGGAAAACAAGATTATCAGGGACTAAGACCAGATGTCTGCCCGCCCCCTGCTCCCAGAGACCAGCCCCCTATATAACTGGCCTGTCGTCCCTGTTCTGTAAGACAAGGACAAGACAAGGACAAGGACATTTAGACATTAGTGAGCCATCTTCCCCCTTGCTAGCAAGCTGTAATAAATCCCTTTCTCACCTACCACCTTGCCTCTTGACTATTGGCACGTCTTGTAAGCAGGCAGATGACCCCCACCTTGGGTGTAACAGAAATAGCACAGGATCCATTCAGTGACATTAACTGTCAATCTACTCGGTGGCCAGCATTGTACTAAAAGCTCAGTGTATGGAGGTAGGTTGGAGCCCCTGCCCTCCAGAAGCTCACTTTCTCCTGTTTGTGAGACAAATAAACACCTGACTTATACTGGAGAGAAGTGAGAGTAGCAGCAGATGTAGCGCACAGTCCGGAGGTGGGCATGGTCACCAGGGGCAGGGAAGGCCTCCTAGCCTGGGCATATCAACTAGAGGCCTGGCTGTAGCTCTCACCAACTGTGTGATCTGGGCCAGGGACAGAGACCTCTGTGAGCTTTCGTTTCCTCATCTGTAAAGTGGTTAAAGATCGAATAAAGCAAACTATGTGCAAGCAGTCTGTGAATGGTAAAGTAACAGATGTTGCTTCCTACTACATTCTCATGAATATCAATGATTATGCAAATTAGATGGGCTCCTTCACTCAAATTCAGATCAAGGAAGTTCACCTAGAGGTTGCCTGGGGTGAGGGATGGGAAGAAGCAGGGGCCTCAGATCTGAGCTGTTTAGATCTCCATCCAGGATGGAGGGAATTTCCTGAAGGTGGCTTTGCTGTCCCCGGTTCCTTTTATGAAACACTGGATTCTTCCTGCATCCATAAAGATGAAGACATTCTTTTGCAGGGATTTAATTTTGGGGCTGCATGCCTGGCCCCTGAGAAAGCCCAGGCTTCCTCCTCCTTTTGAATCTAACCCAGGCAGCTTTGTGTGCTCTAGATAAACCTGCATTCCCCTTAATGCTCCTGGAATTGCTTACTCACACCGAAATCCGCTGCCTCAGGGGTTTCCAGCCAGAAGTAAGCCTTCTTTTCATGGGCAATCAGGCAGTAGCCCAGAGCAGAAAGGGGAAGTGGGGGCCCTGCATGCCCCACTGGGTCACTGTAGACAGTGGATCATAGAGGCGTCCCCTCTCCCTGACCCCAGGCAATGAACCCTGGGGGGGAGGGGGACCCAGGCCTGGGGAGGTGTGTAGTGACAGAAAGGGCATCTACATTTCCACTATGAAATGAGGAAACTGAGGCTGGGCGCAGCACTGGATCTGCTTGTGTCAATACGTTGGTTTAACCCAGATCTGAATCACCACCCGGAGCCCTCACTAGCTTATGGCTGAAGTCACCTTTGATGCTTGCCAGGATATATGTTTTGTGCTGTCACTGATTGAGAGTCTGGATGTAGAAGGTGAATGGGACATATTCACAAAAGGACCTCTGCTCCTCTGCTTGCTGAGGTAATTCTCAAGCTTCAATCTCTAAAGGCTGCATTTGGTCCAGGGTGGGGCTGTATGTGTTGTTACTGTGTCTGTGCATGTCAGGTCTGTGGGGGCTTTTATTCAGCAAACATTTATTGTGAACCCATGTGCCAGGTATCATGCCAGGTGCATGGGATTCAGGGGTGAATAGAGTTGACGGAAACCACGATGCCCTGCCGATCCCTGCAGCGAGAGTGGTAGAAGGAGCATAGGCTGTGGATCTGGAAAAGGTTGACTTGGTCCCAACTCTTCCACTTACCAGCCATGTGTCCTCAGGCAGGTAGCCTGTTCTAGATTGCGGTGTCCTCATCGACAAACTTTGTGTGACTCTAAAACCTGCCTCTCAGACCTGTTTGTGGGGGATCAACTGATGTTTTGTAGGTGAAAAGGTCCATCCCCTTTCTGGGCCTGTCACTGCATCTGTAAATTGAGGTCCGACTCTGCCATATTCCTGAGGTCCACTCTGGGTAGTACAGTGCAGTGGTTAGGCATATTGCCTTCAGGACCTGACAGTCTTGGGTTCAGATTCTGATTTTGCCACCTACTATGTGACCTGGGGCATGTTACTTAACCTCTTTGGACCCCAGGATTCCCAACCATAAACCGGAGATGATAATAGTGCTACTCAGCTCAGACTGTGAGTGTGGTAATTAAATGATGTCCTTCAAAAGTAAATTGAAAATTAAAATTTTGAAGTAAAGGACTTTGCACAGAGATGTTCTCAGTAGGCCTTAAATAAATGCGAGCTATACTTTTCATTATTCTTATATTAATAATATATAATAAAATAATCCAAAGGATAATACAAAATATTTTTCTATCTTTCCACATATGTGTCTTTGGACCAGTCCCCAAAAAAAACAAAACTGGAAACACACTCATGTTGCACAAAGACAGAGTTATCAGGAACCTGGAAAACAAAACAAAACCTTTGGAGGATCAACTGCAAAGATATATGCTCTGATGCTCTGTTTTGTTGTCGTTCCAAGCCCAACAGTGTCTCACCCAGTGACCACCAGGTACTTTCAGCGTCATGTGTCACATGGGAGAATGGGGAACAATCAGCCCCATTTTTACATGGCCCCATCACTGTCCCACCAGCCCCTAACTGGCCTTTTCCTGGCCGAAGGAGGAGGCTGGGTCTCGGCTGTGACTCTCCGCTCCTCCCAGCAGCCTCTTCCTGTCCACCCCGTGGCACTCCTAAGCCACTCACCACAGTATTGCACTCGGAGCAGAGACTGCCATGTGTTGAGTTGCCTTCTGTAACTGCAACTTGGTGAAGATGCGAGGGTCCTCAACCTCCAGAGCAGAAAGGGCTCTGAGGGAACACTGACTCACTCATTACCCCCAGGTTCCAGTTTACTTAAAAGGAAACTGAGACATAAAAACATTAAAGACTTATGTAGGGTCATAACAGGAGTTGAGGATGCAGCCAGGACTGGAATCTGGGCTCTTGGACTCCCAGATATGTCAGCTGGCATTACAGCTATGCATTGGGGTTACCTGGGCATAGCCACAATGCCACACCTGGACCAATTAAACCAGAGTCTCTGGCGGTGGGACCCAGGCATCAATATCCAGTAGCCAAGGCTATACACTACTGCGTTAGAGCGCAGAGACCCCCTCTGTGGGCACGAATGGCCTTGGTTCACATTCTTTTTGCACTGTTCCCAGCCTAACTCATGCCCAAGCCATATGCTGGAGATTCCAATGTAATTGGCTACACATCAGGATTATTCAAAACTCCCATATGATTCCAACCTGCAGCTAAGGTTGAGAGCCACTGTTTTAACGTAACTTCTTAAATTTAACTTTAAAACTCCATTTACTCTTTAAGGAAAATCATGATACTCAATTGGATAAAAAAAATAGTACCTGTTCAGTTGGGATGCAATGTATTGTGAATAATCTGTATTCACATCCTAGAAACAGAAGCATTTGCAGTTACGGCAATATTAATCTGTGGTTTTGTCTTTACACGTCGGTGTAATTAGACTTACTTCTATGTCACTCGATTACTGCCATTTGCCAATTCAACAGAAATTTATTGAGTTTACTTTAGTATAAGCAATGTGAGTTTAAAGGATCATTCTGAATCAACAGCATAATAAATAACTGTCTTTAATATAACAGAAAAAATATAAGTTTAGTTAGTACCATGAAATGTTCTGTCTTAATATATAATCCCTAAAAATGGAGTTTAATGGGTATCTGTCATTTGCTGAGGAAAATGTCTGGGATGGGACTTTCACTCGAACCAAGTGAAAATCCTGGCTCTCACTTTTTTTTAAAGTAAACTGCCTAAAATTCCAAAGCCCTTTAGCCTCTTTATTTACCTCCCAACTATAATGAGGAAACCTCAGGAATAGGCCCCCCAACCACCCAACCACTGTTCCCATGGGAGAGACCCTAAGCCCAGTCACAGAGAGCATATTTTGAACGAGCAAAGTGAAAACCTCACTAAGCACAAAACCAAAAGCTGCCCCAGCGTACTCTGGCGGGAAACACAGACCAGGGCCCCGATACCCGCGGGGTCCTCCTGTTCGCATCCCCTGCTGTCCTGAGGCATCAGAGCCAGAGAATCAGGTTTCCCCAAGGCACAGGTGACCCTCGGGGTTTCCGGAGGCTGTGAGTGTCAATCACCTACCCTTATCAGTTCTCCGTCCAACACTTAGAGTCACAAAGCTGGCTGGAAAAGTGATAAGGAGATGTGACTGGCTGGCGAAGAAGTTTAGATGAAGCTTTGCAGGGCAAGATGAAAACTGACATTTGATTTCCCGGCCGCAACGTCCACTTGACCTTCTCTGCAACTCATCCCCCCGCCCCCAGAGCCTCTCTGTGCCCTTCTTCTTTGCCCTAGCCTCTCCCTGAGTCTCTCCTTTTGACACTGGGTGACACATTTGTTTCTGCACACAGAAATTGGGACATGCAGCCCTGGATAACTATGGAAAGTAGTGGATTCTTTGCATTTTCTAAAAAATCAATTAAAAATGTAAATTAATTTAAATTTTAAAATTAATAAATAAACCAAAGTTAGCAAAGTCTTTACCCAGCAGCTCCTGCAGGTCTGAGGCAGGGGGCCCAGCATGTTCTGCTCCTCCCGGCTCTGCTTCTAAGCCCACACCCACATGCCATTCATAAAGTCCCTACTTTGAGTCTCCTCCTCCAGCCAGGATTGGTCCTCCAGAGGTGCTGGCTCCAGGCCAGGCCCCATCAGCTGCAAATCTGCTAGAGCTGGATGAGTCGGCTGCGCTGTGTGGCCTTGATGGGATTAGGCCGGGCGGAGTTTGAGTCTAACTGGTAAGTGAGTTCTCATGCATACGAGCTCACCGCCCAGTTATGTCAGATTCTTCCCTCTTGACTCTTGACCTTCCACACTGATCCGTGTAGAGTCTTTGGAAACCAAAACTACCGACATGGCTTCAGTTGTGGAGACCTTAACCTGGCTGTCTAGATCAGGATGAAACCAAAGAATAATCATCCAGAGTTTAGGAATGGATCTCTATACACTACTGTGTTGTATGAAGAACATCAACTTTGGATTCCACCTGCCTGCCATCCACTTTCTGGTTGTGTGACCTTGAGCAAATTACTGAATCTCTCTGGGCCTTAGTACCTGATCTATAAAACAGAGATAGTACCACCTCCCCTGTGAGAATTTTTGTATGTTTCTTTGTGGGGGACATTAGCCCTGAGCTAAGATCTGCTGCCAATACTCCTCTTTTTCCTTTTTCTTTTTCTTTTTTTTTTTTTTTTTTGCTGAGGAAGACTGGCCCTGAGCTAACATCCATGCCCATCTTCCTCTACTTTATATGTGGGACGCCTGCCACAGCATGGCTTGACAAGCAGTGCAAAGGTCAGCAAAGGTCAGCACCCGGGATGGAACCAGCAAACCGTTGACCACTGAAGCAGAATGTGTAAACTTAACTGTTGCACCACTGGGCTGGCCCCTGCTGTGAGAATTAACTGAGAAAAGGGATGGAAAGTGCTTCTGCTTATATCTAAGTCCAAATCCCACATAAGCTACTTCCTGGTTACGAAGGCTTCAGCAGGTCTCTTAAACTCTCTAAATCTTAGATTCTTCTGAAAAATGGGGATTATAATAGCTACCTCAAAAGGTTGTATAAAATCAAATGCATGACCTTTGTAGTTAATTGGACTGGATTTAAATCCTGACTTTGTCATTTACTGGCTTGGTGTAAGTCACTCTGCCGCTCAGAGCCTCACTTTCCATATCTGCAGAATGGCTGTGACAATCCTATCTCACAGGGTTGTGGTAAAGGTTAAGAGAGGTAAGCCAGAAAAAATGTTCAGCACAGAGACTTCAACAGATGTATGGCTGATGTCATTAACAAGATAATACAGGCACAGACAGTGATCTTGACCCAGGAGTTGACCACCAGCTGGCAGCTATTTCAGCTAATGTTCCAAAAGGTGCATTGCTTGGGCCACTTGGATCGTGTCCCAGGGTCAAGCCAGTCAAGTCCTATAGATGACCTTCTGCTCCATCTCGATCCCATAGACAAGGCACCAGTTACCCACAGGACTTTGGAAACCAGCTCCTTATTCTGAAGAAGAGATTATACAGCTCCAACCCTCTGACTCTTGAAGGTGAAGTATCAAGGGTCCAGGCTCAGAAAAACAAATGGAATCAAGTACTCTGGCCAATGGAACAATCAAGCCAGTCCCAGGACTTGAGGGGGTGACTGCTGTGATGGTCAAGGAGTCCAGGCATGTGGGAGAAAGGAATACCCTGACTTGAGATGGTCTGAGCTCACTCTAGGGTCCCTAAGGTCAGCCTCCTGGGGAAGCTGGAACTGCACAGGGACAACACACTCGTTCCTATTTGGTCCAATCCTATTTGGTCCACATGGGAAACTGGAGCCCAGGGTGAAATCTGCCAAAATCTCAAGGATGCAGCTCTCTTGTCTTTGACCCTAGATCAGAACATGCTTATGACGTAGATCAGAAAGCGGGTGTTTTCAGAGAAGAGATAGGAGGCCTGAGTGGTGGGAGGAGGAGGAAAGTGGTAACTGACCAACCACCAGACCTGCAGGGCCCAGTCATTCCCTCTCAAGGACCCAAATTGTGACAGAGGAGAAAATGCAACGGTTCGTTTGTTTTTCCATGAAAGCAATTGTCCTATTTCAGGGCTCTTATAATCCTTGTCTTCACAACAGGGCCTCAGTTTCTGTAAACACCAACAGAAGCTTGGAAATTATAAAGGTAGTCTGGAACGTTCAAACCTGGAGAGTGTCTAAAAATACAACTCCTTACTCTCCTCCATGCCTGATCCAAAAGCTAATGCTTTGGCAGGAAAAGAAGTTAAATTTCAAAGATCCCTCTTCTCCCGTCTTGCTTCCCCAGTCCAAATGACGTGCACAGTTGGGTGTTTAAATAAGAGAGATTGCTTAAAAAGTACATTTCTTGTACCCTTTCCATTGAATTCACTTGCACAGGGCTTTTTCACTATAATTCAATTCATCCAAGAGGCATTGACAAGCCAGGGACTGCTCTAGATGGTGCGGATAGAGGGGTAACTTCAGTCTCTGCACCCAAGGAAACGAGAAGCTCATGGCTGATACTAACCCACATTCTGAAAGGGGCCATGCATTCTGCCTTGGGGAGACTGAGAGAAGGTGACATTTGACCTCTGCCTAAGAGCAGAGAAAAGGGAAGGGATTGAAAGGCAGAGGGAACAGCATATGCAAAGGGATGAAAGTGTGAGGCAAGAGCCCCGTTGGGGAACAGCAAACAGCCCAGGGTGAGGTGACGGTGTGAAATAAGGCTGGAGGTATAAGGTCAGGGCCAATCTCAACACCTTGGACATCAGGTTAATTAATTAATTGGGGTCCTATCTGGCAGGCAAGAGGAAGCTCTGGGGTTCTGGTCACATCTGATTCTAGGTACCAAGGAGCAAAAGGCTTAGAAAGAGACCGGCAGCAGAGGAACCAACTGAGCAGCTGCTGCTCAGGGCAGGTGAGAGGTGGTAAGAGTTTGAATTAACACGGTGGCAGTGAGGATGGCGCCCTACTCTTTAATTTAATTTTAAACTTAACACATTCTCTAAATAACTAAATAATGCAAGTAACGATAATTCTATTTGGGGAAAGATCTACAGGCCAGATGCTGGGCTCGGTTCATCTTTGTATATTGTTTCATTTAATCCTCTCAACAACACTGAGCAGTACGTATTTGGGGTGGGCTCACCCTTCCTAGGGGCAGCAGGGTCATGGAGAGCAATCAAGCACACAATGTTGACTCATTAAACTCCAGTCAACAAGCCCCGTCATTCTCCATTCCAAGGTCCCTTCCAGGTAGCATGGCCAACAAGTGGATAAGAGGAGACTATCACATTGCAACCCTTGGTTTATTGACACTGGTCACAGCTGTGCCAGGCATGCACCGTGCCCAGGACACCCACGGGCTGAAAACTCCGTACAGCCCTTTGATTTCGCACCACACACTGCTCCACCCCAGCCAAGGCTTACTTCATTGGCACCTGGGTTTTGTTATTAAAATGTCATCAACATGAAGAGGGGGCCACCTACTCAGGAAATCTGGAGGGGCTGCCCACACAATTTCATCATAGCTGGAACTTCTGCCCCACGTGCCCAATCACAGCCTGTCCCCTTGGTTCACTCACTCCGTGGCCCCGGAATTAAAACGCTCTCCAGCCTCCATCTCTTCCTTTTGTTGTGTCTTCATGGCTTTTTATTGAAACGTGTGCTAAAACCACTAATTTACATATCATTGAAGCTCTTAATATATATCCTCTAAAATATACTTTCATGTATTTGACTTGAGTTTTCCCACTGCCAATACAGTAAACTTTCTTAGGGACCAATTCTACTCAAAGTATCATCATCCTCTTTTTGTAGGATAGAAAAACAGATTCAGAGAGTTTAAGCAACTTGTCCAATGCTTCACAGCTCGTAGGAATTGAATCCCAGATAGTTCTGTCTCCATCTGATTTCTCCCACATCACCTTCCCTTTCTAAGTGCAAAGAAAAGTGAGTGGGCATAACCTTCAACACCACTCACGAAGATTCCACGTCATGCATGCCTTTTGAAACAATTTACTATTCATTAGCCCAGACACCAAAGGACGGTCATGGTCAAGGAGGCAGGCTTGAAGGTGAAATAAAATAATTGCTGAGATGTGGAACCACGCCCTGCCCATCTTTCAGGGGCACCCTGTCCAAACAGTTCTCCTGAAGATCCCACCCTGTGCTTTCTGTAACTCCTTTGGCCTTGATTGACTCTCGTGGGTTACGAAATCTCCACCCTTCCAGCTCTCCGGCCGGGCGGTCTGTCACATTAGTTTTGCATCTCACATAATCCTTTCCTGCCGACTGACTGGTTCTGCCACAGCCTGTCTGCCCACCCATTAGTAAGTTCCTTATGGGCAGTGCTGATAGCGACCCTCAACCAGCCAGTCCTGTTCCCCCAAAGCTGGCACAGATGTACCTGCCCCATGGTTGGGGGATAAAACAGGCTGTGGAAGGGACTGAATCAGGACAGGCAGAGGGAAGGAAGATGATCGAGTGCCAAAACCTTTAGAGCACGCTGCCCTGCCCAGCTGTGTTCAGGGGCTATGACCTCTGTCTCCTCCCGGGTCTCCATCCGGCTGGGCTCACTTCGCCCAGTTTAATGAGCTCAGGAATGTGCTCAGTTGAGACACCCAGTGTTTGCTCTGGCCTGTTTGAGCAGAAATGTGCCCCAGGCTCTGCTCGTCTGCTTGCAGGACTGCTCAGTTCAGTCCTCAGAGAACATCAGTGGTAACAGGCAAGCCACACCCGGAACGGAGGTCAGCACCTGCATTTAATATATTATGAAGAATAATAAATATCTACCAGGCATGGCTGCAGAGAGGCCGCAGACCCTGGACTGGAAGCCAGGGAAGGCACTTTCCTTTGAAGTCAGCCTGCCTTAGAGCTGGAGGCAGCTTGTCAAGAACCAGCTACTTTTCTCTGAATACTTCTTGGCTCTGAGGGCCTTGGCCAGCATCTGCCTCCCTCCAAAGCCCACAAGCCAGTCTGATCGCTTGTCTAGGAAGCACTGTGTGAACATCAGGTGTGTGCTGGGCTCTGAGGTGGGGCC